TTTTTTTTTTTTTTTTTTTTTTTTTTTTTTTTGCGTACTTGGGCGCAGTTATTCGCATTATGGGAGTATCGCTTTAGTGGCTGCACCGCATCTCTTTCGTGGCTACAGCGTATCGCGGTAGGCTGGCGCTCTACAGAGAGTTTACGGTCCCGCCCGCAAAACATGTGGGTGCATTTCTGCTTCGCCCCCCCCAGAGGCTCGCTTACAAATTTCTCTGCCGTGTCGTTCTGCAAAAAAGGGAAGAAAAAGTTAACCAAGTGGAAGGAGGACCAAAGACGTAACAACGGAAAAAATAACAGCGCAAAAAGGAAAAAAAAAAAAAACAAAACAAAACGTGCGAAGAGGAGAAAAAGAAAGTGACCGCCCATTTTAGCGCACAGTTGAGAGGAAGCCCTGGAAAGGCAGCCACAACAAAACTGACAAAACTTGATATAAAAAGCGTCGCTTACTGCCAACCGGCCGAGCAGTCCACAGCTGAGCTGCATCGAGGAAAATAAAAGAAAAGAACTGCACAGTCGAACAGTTGAAGAGCTAATCAGATAAACAACTGACTATCTGATCAAGTTAATCTTTTTTTTTTTTTTTTCCCCGACCACGCTCCAAGTTTGGTAAAGGTAAGGCCCGAGCTGAGGAAGAAAAAGGGGGGCACGCAGATCTGCTCCCACGCACGCTACTCCCCCTCACGCTGCTCTGCCGTATGCTTGGACCTGTTTGTTCACCTATTCATGACACGCACGCCGCTTCCCCACCCGCAGATGTCCATCCAGCTGCTGAACAAGAAGGCGGACAGCCTCCGCTCCACCAACGTGCTGCTGACGAATATTAACGCGAGCAAAGGGATGTACGAAATAATAAAGAGCAACCTGGGTCCCAAGGGGAGTTACAAAATGTTGGTGAGCAGCTCTGGTGCGATTAAAATTACTAAGGATGGTAATGTTCTGCTTAACGAAATGATGATTCAGCACCCAACAGCGAGCATGTTGAGTAGAATATGTTCTTCCATCGACGAGACATTAGGAGATGGGTCCAGCAGCAACCTCATCGTAGCGACCTCGTTAATATACCTATCTGAAAAGTACATTTTGTATGAGAGCATCCATCCCCGTATCATCACCCAAGGGTTCGATCAAGCAAAAGCAATTCTTCTAGATGTACTGGAGTCCATGAAAATACCCATAAACATAAAGGAACACTTTAATAAAGAACTCCTGTACAATGTGGCAAAGACATGTGTTCGAACCAAATTACCAATCCCCCTGGCCGATAAGCTAGCTGATGATTTAGTAGAAAGTATAAAAATTATTTACAACCCTGAAAAACAAATTGATCTTCATATGATTGAAATAATGGATATAAAAAAAAATATGAGCATAAATACAAAGTTGGTTAGAGGTATGGTTTTGGACCATGGGTGCAGACATCCTAATATGCCTAACAAACTAACCAAATGCTTCACTTTAGTTTTGAATGTTAGTTTGGAGTATGAAAAGAGTGAAGTGTTTTCTTCTTTTGTTTATTCTAATGCAGAGGATAGAGATAAGCTAGTTCAGTCGGAGAGGAAATTCACTGATGATAAGGTAAAGAAAATTATTGAATTAAAAAAAAGTATAATTGAAAAAAAATTTAAAGAAACCAATGAAGTGTATAACTTTGCTGTGTTCAATCAGAAAGGTATTGATCCTATTAGCTTAGATTTACTGGCCAAGGAAAATATCATGGCCTTAAGAAGAATTAAAAGAAGAAACTTAGAACGCATAGTCCTCTGTTGTGGTGGAAATGCTTGTAATAATGTGTACGATTTGACGGAGGAAGATGTGGGATTTGCAGGACTCGTTTATGAAATATGTATTAACGATGAAAAGTATACCTTCATTGAAGATGTGGTGAACCCTAAAAGTTGTACCCTATACATACAAGCCCCAAATGATTATACCATTAAACAAATAAAAGATGCCATTCGAGATGGACTTAGAAGTATAAAAAATGCTATTGAAGATCAGTGTGTAATTTCAGGAGCAGGCTCATTTGAAATTATGGCCTATTGTAAATTAAAAGAAGAAGAAAAAAAAATGAAAGGAAAACAAAAATTCTCATTCGATGTTTATGCAAATAGCTTGCTCAATATTCCAAAAATACTTTTAGAAAATAGTGGACTTGATATTCACGAGACGCTATTCAATGTGATTGATCAATATATGGCTGACCAGTCGGAACCCCTTGGCCTCGATTTGGACACTGGCGAGCCCATCATCGCGCATTTGAAGGGTGAGTTGTTTGAATAAGCCGGGCGCAGCGCTCAGGGGTATCACCTCAACATGGTTAAGCGGCCCCGTACAAATTATTCACCTCATTCATTCGCACCTGTTTTATGATTCCCCCCACAGGCATATACGACAACTACTGTGTGAAGAAGCAAATCATCTCCATCGCTACGGCCATCTCGCAACAGATCCTCCTCGTCGACGAGATCATACGGGCGGGAAAGTCGATGGGTGAAGAGAAGTAAAAGGAAGTCGCGCGGCATGCCAAACGGAAAAAACCGCCAGGACAATCCTGTTAAATGCGCACCAGGCGCGCCCACGTCATTTGTAAATGCCCATTTCACGAAATGATGAGCGGCGTGCACCCCGCTTGTGTATACCACACACGTGTACATATAATACAAAACCAACACAGGCGCCGATGACGACTGCGTAGCAGCGTTTGACGCGCTCCCATTTTGTTGATCACACCTCCAAACAAAAGTGACGCCTCCTTTTGTGTATGTCCTTTTCCTCTTTCTTCTTCCCCCAAACGGAAGGGAAGGGAAGGGAAGAGAAAAAAAAAAAAAAAAAAAAAAATATATCCACAAAGTACATATGATTGCACATGTGACTGCACATACGATTGCGCGTGTGCATAACTTAAAACATTCATGCATGTGTGCGTACACGCACGTGCATCTTAAATGAGTAAGCCAAAACGACCAGTCCCTCAGGGTCCACAAATTAATACGGTATAATAAAGCATAGCAGCTCAGTAGCATGCCAGCATTGCCCCACATGGGACGTGCTTGAAGCTCCTCTAATTTATAAAAAGCCCCCACACCCGTAGCCATTGCCCTCCCGGCGGTAATAAAAACGAAAGGATTGGTCACCCAGGGAATGCAAAAGGAAATACGTGGGGGACGGGCTCCACTCCCATATATGTTTATGGACACCGCTTAAAAACGGAATAGAGAAAAAAAATCATTCTTTTCCATAGTCGCAAAAGTTACACTGGGTCAGTTCACCATCTCTGCGGCAGTGCCAAAGGTAGGAGACTGTACAAATGGGCACAGTGTTGCAAATTGGTAGGTGTTTTTTTTTTTAAATTCGCATACGCGTTGGAATGCACCACTTTTAAAATGCTCCCCCTTACGCACACGGATGTCACTGTGAAAAAGCATTATCAGTGGTGAAAAACAAAAAAAACCAACCCAGAGAAGCTCGTTATGTTCGACGAGTACTGCAACGCGCACGCTTCCCCTCTCCCTGTGTGTGGAGGTGGGGCTTCTTCGCTGCAAAACAAATTGCGTAAAAATACCATTTTATGTTATATGACTGAAAAGCTGTGCAATGTGGCCCATAAAAATGAGGAAGTGATAAAACATGCACATGGGGGGTGGGGTGCGCGATATGCTGGAAAAAACAAGTCTGTTATTTATGTTTCCTTCGTTAAGCGAACAAAATTGTAGGTGCGCGATTCACCCCGAGGTTCCGCGCATACGTTGATATAAAAAAGCAGCCACCCGTACAGAATCTACCCTACCCCTTTTTTTATAATACATTTTTTTTTTTTTAGCACATAATAAAAATAGCCTGTTCTTAAGGCCCATCCCTACATGCAGAAAAAAAAAAAATAATAATAAATAAAATAAAATACATAATTTTGCGCATATGTAATATTATATAAAAACATGCGCAGATGCATGTAATGCCCTCACGGTTCCTGTTCCGGTACAGAACTCAATGCGGCACATGCGATGAACTGCGTGCAAAGGGGAAAAGTTGCATCCATTTTTCTGTTAATTCCCCTACGGCGCCAGGATGATAGGTTTAAAAAAGTATGCCTGCCACCGGGGGTGGATTTAAAAAAGGTGCTCCCGTGCCAAGTGAGTTCGCTCAACTACCCACCGTGTGCGTGTTCAGCACTCCGCGTGGCATAACTTTTATTTTGTATTACATGTTTGGGAAAAGAGAGGAGATCGGCACATTTTAGGTAACCCCTTAAGCATGCCATATGGGTGCATAAATGCGCATACGGAACATGCATGAATGCGTAAAAATATTTAATTTCATTATGGTGGGAGAGAGATTTCCCTCCTTCTATAGGTGGCCACAACTATTATTATGCACGAAATTTAAAGAAACCTGGGGTAGGGAAAGGAGCGAACGGTAACAAATAGGAAACGGTAGCAAGGTGCCAAATGGTTTATACATGAATTAAAAAAAAAAAAAATCTACAAATCATAAACCTAAACACTAAATTATTCCTACACCTAAATTAAAATTGAAACTAAAATTTTCCTTGCATCCTTATTTTCTATCCTTCAAAACACCATCACTTCGCTTTAAGAAAAAAAAATATATATAAGTTACCCAAATTTCCGCTCTCTACAAATACGTTAAAAGTAATTAAACCACTTTGCCCTTTTCAACAAAAGAAGGAAACTCTTTGTTCACTTTTCCACCACCCCTGACCCTATAAATGTAATACTACCTGCCGAGCTTAAAAGCTGCATGTACCTTTTTGATGACGAACGAGAAAGAAAATCTATGCGTGCGAAATAGTGTTATGTGTTTCTACGCTCGCATTGGCGGAGAAACGTGTACCAGTAGTACAATGTTGTGTTAATCAGATGAACTCCACTGCGCATGCGCCATATCCCCCCCCTCCCATCTATGCCCCCCCGATATTTAACCCTTACAGATATAAGCATCACGCTTTAGCACTTCTATCCCCATACAAGGAAAATAATCTTTTTTACCCGCGTATACTCATTCTCTACGCTACGTTTTGCAACCTTTTTACTAGTATTATTTTTTCCCAACTAAACTGTAAGTGTTGACACACATATGCTTAAGCTGAGCAACTGTGTTGGTGCGCACCGAGAGTTACACAACAAACCAAAAGAAAAGGGGGCCATATGTAAAGTATGCCCGCACCGCGTGTACGTGTTGCACCTGTTGTTCGCATGCTCATATGTTGTGCAGCGTTCCCCACTTTTTTTTTTTTTTTTTTTTTTTTTTTGGAGCGAGAAAAATGGCTAACTAAGCTAGCTAAAAAATATATATGTTTTTTCGTCTACACAAATGTATGAACGTTCATAATTTTTTTATTTTTTGCAAATTTGTCGCTTCGCGGCCGTCCGCTTATAATACACATTTTCCTAACCTTGTTATTTGGCTTATTTGTTTGTTTCAATTTTTTCCCACCCTTCGCCCCCCTACAACTGTAGAGCCAAAATGGACTTCATTAAAGAACTCAAGAGCAGCCAAGACTACATGAACAACGAGTTGACCTATGGAGCACACAACTACGACCCAATCCCCGTTGTGCTCAAGAGAGGAAGTGGCGTTTTTGTTTATGACATCGAAGATAGGAGGTACTACGACTTTTTGTCCGCATACTCATCCGTGAACCAGGGACACTGCCACCCCAACATCCTGAATGCAATGATAAATCAAGCCAAAAAATTAACAATATGCAGCAGAGCATTTTTTAGCGATTCCCTTGGTGTGTGCGAAAGGTACTTGACCACTTTATTTGGCTACGACAAAGTGTTAATGATGAACACAGGAGCAGAAGCAAATGAGACAGCATATAAAATGTGCAGAAAGTGGGGTTATGAAGTGAAAAAAATACCAGAAAATGAAGCCAAAATTATTGTGTGCAACAATAACTTTTCTGGAAGAACTTTAGGATGTGTGTCAGCTTCTACTGATAAGAAATGTAAAAACAATTTTGGCCCCTTCGTTCCAAACTTCTTAAAAGTTCCCTATGATGATTTAGAAGCATTAGAAGCAGAACTACAGGACCCAAATGTGTGTGCATTTGTTGTTGAGCCCATCCAAGGAGAAGCTGGAGTTATCCTTCCATCCGATGGATACTTCAAAGGAGTAGAAGCATTGTGCAAAAAATACAATGTCCTTTTTGTAGCTGACGAAGTACAAACAGGATTAGGAAGAACAGGAAAATTGTTATGTACTCACCATTATGGTGTGAAACCAGATGTTATTCTTCTTGGTAAGGCCCTTTCCGGTGGCCATTACCCCATTTCAGCCATTTTGGCTAACAATGATGTTATGTTGGTGTTGAAACCAGGTGAGCACGGATCTACCTATGGAGGCAACCCCCTTGCTGCTGCCATTTGTGTAGAATCGCTCAACGTTTTAATCAATGAGAAGCTTAGCGAAAATGCAGAAAGGTTAGGTGGACCATTCTTAGAAGCTTTAAAGAGAGAACTGAAAGACAGCAAAATCGTTCGTGAGGTTAGAGGACGAGGTCTACTCTGTGCTATTGAGTTCAGGAATGACCTCATCAACGTTTGGGATATCTGCTTGAAGTTTAAGGAAAATGGACTCATCACTAGATCTGTGCATGATAAGACGATTCGATTGACTCCACCACTTTGCATCACCAAGGAACAGCTCGACGAGTGTTTGGAAATCATTTCCAAGACCGTTAAATATTTTGACGACAGGTTGTAAAGCTGCTCTTATCGTGTAACGTTTTTTTTTTTTTTTTCTTTTTTTTTCCTCATTCTGCAATCCTGCATACTTTTCATTTTTACCTCTCTGTCTCCATCTTTCCAAACGCATGAAAAGGGGCTTTTTGGCCCAATGTGTCAAGTGTGTATTAGTGGACGTGCACAATAAGCATGGAACGCTTTTCCCCTCTGTCTGTGTTTTGCTGTTTACATGTAGTGAAGTGATTTCTTATGTAGTTTTTACCTTGTCTTATCCTTTTCTTTTTGCTTTTTTCGTCTCTGTGTGTATTTTCTGTAGCATGTAGTTTTTGATCTGATTTTTTCCGCAGGACGTGTTTCGTTTTTCTTTTCTTTTTTATTTCCTTTTTTTTTTTTTTTTTTTTTTTCCTAATTTCCTGACCCTCCCGAAAACCTTGCATGCTCACTTCCGCCCCTTCTACTGTCCACATTTTGTGGCGTGCGTTCTGACCGTTCTCGCCATTGTTCTTTCGTCCACCGGGTGAAATGCCCTTCTCTTCCTTCCAAATCTCCACCCCCATCCCATGCGGTTCTTTCCACTAGCGCAGCTCTGTACCATCTGCCCACCCCACTACAGTTCCCCCGCAGTGAAACTCCTGAGCTTTTCTGTTTTTCTTAATTTCAAACTATCCTACGTTCGAGGCTTCGGACCTTGGTCCTCACCACGTCCGTTTATTTTGTTTACCACCTTATACTCCCCATTCTACAACCTCCTTCCAGTTCGTGTATTCTTTTAAAAAAAAAAAAAAAAAAAGTTTACCTCTCTTCACCCCTCTTTCTTTCCTTCCCAACTTTTCTGACTTACACTCTTGCTATCGCGATATAGATCTGGGTCACTTGTTTGATACAAGAGGTTTCTCTTTTTTGTTTGTTTTTTTTTTTTTTCCACTCCCCTTCACTCTCTCACACTTTCCTCGCTTCTCTGTCCTTGCCGCGCACCCTGTGTTTTGCTTGAGTCCTTTTTGTCCAGTTGTTGCATGCACATGAACGCTTCTTCCGCACGGCCATTCGCTTAAGCGATGACGCTAAACTTACAACGTCGGGATGATTCCCCTAAACGAATAGGGCATTTGTACCACTTGCACTCACAACGATTGAGGGGCACAGCACCCCGGAACCGCCGCACACCGCGTGGATACACAAACATATGCACATGTGTATGCACATATATTTTTTTTTTTTTCACGCCTATATTAGCACACAAAAAAGAGTTCTTTTTCTAAAGGCCTGCCCCCCCTGTTATACCAACTTGGATTTTTTTTAAGTTACAGCACCATGTGATGAAGAGCATGCCATGGTCAGCACTGTTGGGCGATCGATTTTGTGACTGAGTTGCCTTACGAGTGACCGAACGGTTACCGTGTGGGATGATTCACCAACGAACTAGTCGACCCATTTTAAAACGATAATATGCAGTGCATCGCGATATATATATATATATATATATATATATATATATATATATTTTTCTTCTCCCCAACGCCATTTTTTTTAACCAATCACTGGAGACCTTTGCGGATGGGATGCGTTACCTAATTTGGCTGGCGCCCCTTTCCCCAGGTGGGTCTCTCCCCTTGTGGTGGCACATACAAAAGGGAACCCCGCATGGTTTGACCCTCCTCCGTGACAAGTACGTTTAGATAAGCACATGAGGAGCTGTATTTTATGTTGTATATGAGCATTAGTTGAGCCCCCTCCCCGTTCGTTCCTACTTCCCCCTGAATAGGGCGTCCAGGGGAGTGTTCCCAAGTTAGCGCTCTTGCCCCAGGTCCCCGTCCCCCATTTCATTTTGCATCCATGCTGTGCGCGCCAACATGGAGAACCCCCCTACGGAAGACGCGGTCACACTGCAGTGCACACTGCAATACGCAATGCACAAAAACGACGTCAAAAGCGAGGTCAAAAATGTAGTTCAAAATGAAGAGGAAGACATAACGAATTTTATAATTAGCAAAAAAATGAACTTGACAAAGGAAAAAAATGAAAATGTAAAAAATATGAAAAAATTAATTTCAAAACATCCAGACATTTTTATCAAGTCGTCTATCCTGTCGAGAGAGTTCCAGCAAAATGTCCACGACATCCAAATCGTTGTCGATGACTTAAGAAGTAATTGCGAGAAAATTGTAGCCTTGTTCGAGGAGGGTCATCTTAAGAGCAGCATGGAAGGGATGAACCTTTCCAACAGTGTACATGACAACACAAGGAGTGGCCTTCCGGCAGACATGCTTAAAATTCCTTTAATAATTCACCGGAGTAACGAGAAGGGAGACGTGCACGAAAGCATGAAGTATGTGCCCCTGTGTGGAAGGGTGAAATTATATCTGTGTGCATTGTGTAGATCCAAATCGAATGATCACAATTTGGTCAACTACCTACGCAGTTATAAAAAAAAACTCAACAAAGAGATAAAGAAAACGAGGGAACTTATCTTCCAGTTGGTTATGAAATGTGATGATGTGGCCACCTTGAAAGTATACCTTCAATATCTGGCCAACATACGAGATTATTTTTTGTTACCTCCAGGGGGAGTAACAACGAATGAAAAGTTTTCAAGCGAAATGAACAATGGTGAAAATTGCCTGAACGGGTTAGGTGAAAAACGGGAAAACAACATGACCCGTTCAGGCAGTTTCTTGAATTGCAAAGATGGGAAAATGACAAACGAGGAGTACACGCAGCACACATTCTTAACGCTCAAGCACTTTTGCATACTACAGTCAGTGAAGGATCAATTGGAGAAAAAAATAAGCAAGCAAAGAACGAACAACTCGTTGAGTGCACATGAAATTGTGCAAATATTTTTGCATGAAATTGCAAACTTGAGAAGCAGCTACGAGAAGCTGTTCCATTCCGTGGACGCCAATCTCTTTAGGCACATCGTGTTTCTTTACTATTTCGCGCTTTCCCTTGTGCATATAAAGATAAAGCAGGGGAGTACTGCCTCACCAGGAGGCGGCGCGAACAAGTTCGATGTAGAGAACTGCGACGTAAAGACGCGTGAGGGGAATACGCACCACACGGATACATGCAGCGAACAGTTGCTGAACAAACTCAACCGAGAATACATCGCAAGCAAATTGGCAAATTGTACGAAAGAGGCGAACACGTCGTCCAGACAGACCAACATCGAAGAAGGGGGACAACTCCCGCTGCGCCTTTTTTCCAACCAAAGGTACCCCTTTGTAAATGTAAATAGCGCCCTCTTCAACTACATGTATTACTGTGTTTTCTTCAAGTGTGAAAAGGACGTTTGTTTCCATCCACGAGTGAGCGAACATGAAGAGGAAAAACTGCCACACTGGGGTGAAAATCAAACGACATCTCCCCACAGGAATAAAAAAATAAATTCGAAAGAAAGGCCACATGAATATGCAAATACGGCACACACAAATCACTGCTCTTGGGTGAATTCCTTGTACGAGGAGGGAAACACAAAATGGAAACGAAAAAAACAAAATGAACAGACAACAAAAATGAGGCACCATATTCTTACCCATTACATATCAATACAGGCGTTAGTTCAAAGGGCAAGTATAAAAGACTCAGTGGAAAATTTGTTCCAGTGTCGAAAGAGTTACGAACAAACTGCTTTCACGAATGAAAACAGGAAGGTCATTTTCATAAAGGGGTTAAATGCGCCTGTCCTATTTAATAATATGTTAAATAAAATTTTCATCCTGTACGTTTACCATTTTTTGGAGAAAACCAATTTTCACTTTTATGAGAGCGTTTTATTTTTTGATGAGAGTGAGCAGGAGGAGTTTGTTCGGTCGGAGAAGAACATCCTATGGGTCCTACGCGAGCACCTTCGCGAGCACCTGCGCAGTGGAAAGGGGGCGAGTGGTCAGCTGCAGGGGGAGCAGCTAGGCGTGCAGCTCAACGAACCGCTCAACGACACCGGGGGAACCCCACTGCAGCGCGCGCAACATAAGCTGAAGCACGCCTTCCTAAACTCCTACTTCCTCAACCTCCTGTTCATCCTGAAAAGCATAAAGCACTACGTAGACAAGTCCATAACCTGCGTCGTCATTTTATTATTTGAAGACTCCTTCAAGAGGGTGATAAAGAATTTGGTCATGATTTATTTGGGGAATCAAAATATGTACCTGAAGTATTCCACGTTTCACTTAATCATGGAGTCACTTTTTAAAATCATTTTCCCCTTCACCTTTTTGTTCCTGTCGGATGTTTTCCAAGTGGACACCTCGAGATCGACGGTAGGGAAGTGGCCAGTACACCTGGGGCTGACCCAGTTACACATACCAAAGAGTTGTCTCAGTGAGGAGACGGGGGGATTAATCCCTGGCGTACGTATGTAGCCCAGTTGCTCATTACTGCCGTACTAGTCACTATATTATATTTTTTATTTTTTTTTTTTCTTGTCCCCTTTCAGGAGAGCATCTTTAATGTTCTGGACAGCTACGGAGTTGGCGCGTGAGGGGGCAAGAGAAGACCTCCCCAAGGCTTCATCTACACGACGTTTCCAAGTGACCGCCACGGATGCTACGGCTTCCACGTCCTACCGTTCACTCGTGCACACATGTGCGTACTAAGCAATCCCTCTACTTGCTGATTTGCATTTTCTGATTTTCGCTTTCCATGAGGAAAAAATTTCCAGGGAGACTAATTTGTCGTGCCCATGGGGAAAATACACACAAGCGGGCTCCTTCCGAGCTGCTTAAAAAAAAAAAAAAAAAAAAAAAACACCTCTCGTTTGCCACTTGTTAAAACTAATTTTTTTTTTTTTCGTTTGGCTCCACTTGGAGGAAGTTGTTTTTTTCCCCCTACACGATCATCAACGTTGTTAAAAGGGATGCACAGAATGCGACAGTGCAAAAAAAACACAACTTTACATGCTCACAAATGAGAGCATAAAACAGGAACAACTTTTTTTCGAAACGATGGGGTCGTTCGAAAATACTCGCGAATTGGGAAAATGGAATTCCGAGGAATGTGAAAGTGTAAGGGGGTGAGTTCCCCAGTTTTGCCATTTGTGGGGTGTTTTCGAGCTGCCCCTGGGTCAAAGGTGTTACTATGTCCCCATGCGGAGGGAAAGTTGTGTATGCAGCTAGCCAAAACAGCAACACATCATTCCGCTTTTCCCAATCGGCATACTAATATACACTCCACGGTATGCACCAAAAAAAAAAAAAAAAAAAAATATTCAGTTTCTCGCGGAGGTTACTTGTGTGTTCTTACCTACCCATAACACAACACACCAGTTCGTCGCTACTAAAGTGACAGCGATGGTGGTGATTTATTTATTATTTTTTTTTTTTTTTTCTTGTCATTTGGAGGAGTAAGGCGTTTATGTTAAAAGGGAACAGCGAATCGATAAGTTTCCCGAGGGGTGTGGGGAGAATACCAACCTGATCCCCATGTGGCGCCAGTGAACCAGTCCCCCTTTTTCCGTTATGCACTTTGGGGAAAAAAAAAAAAAAGTGAAGCGGAACAATCACGTTAACGGGCGCCAAACGGGTGTTGAACAAAACGAGACGAAACGAAACGAACACAAGAACAGGGGAAAGAAAAAAAAATATATAAACAAAAATATAAACAAACGAACGAGCAAAATGTAAGCACTTTTCATATACATATGTGGTGTTTACTTTTTTTTTTTTTCCACATGTGAAATTTTGCTCGCATTCGTCCTGCATTTTTTTTTTTTTTTTTTCTTTCTTGCATTCTTTTCGTTGTTCCTACGTTGGTTCTCCTTCGTGTTTAACCTTTCTGTTCACTCTTGTGTTTCATTATTTTTGTGTCACTGTTGTGTTGCCCTTCGTGCGGACCACTTCAGGTGCCTCCTTCCGTGCAAGCTCTGAAGCCGCACGGAGAAGCAGTGCGCACCTGCACGCCGAGGGTGTTTTTCCCCCGCCCTCGAATTCACCCCAAGGGATAACTCCCTTCGTGAAACAAAGGGGAAAAAAAAGAAACTTACATGCTGCTCGCGTTATACACGTACAGAATTGCAGCACGTTTATTCGTCCCCGTGAACAACCTGCACAAGTGCCCCGCTTTATTTAGGGATAATGCGTGGGAGGACAGGTGTTAAGGGAATAGGGCAAAGAAGGCACTTGGTCACGCCCGCCCGGCGGTAGTGCATAATAGCGGTAGCGCATCGCTGTAGCGCATCGCAGTTGGGCGGCCGCTTAACAAGGTGTAACCCTCTGTGTGTGGCAGGATATGAAGGCCGAGGCAGGGAGGAGCCCCAAGGGCGAACCGCCCACCGCGGTGTACCTCCAAGTGTACCAAAAGATAAGCATTTACTACGAGTGTGCAATTAACGAAGAAGAAAGAAAAAACAAAAGACTGTTGAAGAAAAATAAAAGCATTCATGAATTGAAGCAAGTACAAAAAGAGCTAATAGATTTCTTTGACGAAAATGTGGAGCTGTTTTCCAACCCATTTCATTTCTTGCAGTACGAAGAGGAGGATGTGAATAAAAATGATCTGAGGAATTATATCGCAGACAACCACTCCTACTTATTAACCTACATGGAGGATATTATTAAATGCTCCGTCATGCTGAACCGAAATGCAATGCGTGTGTGTTCCATGTTTAACGAGGTGTACCAAAGAATTCAAAATGAGTGTGTAAAAAGTGAATTAACGAAATCTCAGTTTATATGTGAAGTTTTTAAGGCCTGTATTGAAAAGGAAAATTTAATCGTCATGATATTTTTTACCATTTTAAATTACCTGAACAAAAATGAAAAAATTGGAGTGACCACAAGATATGGCCACTTGAGGTCGCCTAAAAATGAGTACTGTAGTGAGGAGAAGGATGAAAATTTGACAGACCTGGAGGGGGGGACGAAGCGTGGACAAGGACACGTTGTTGGTGATGGGGATGGAGATGAGGGGGATGGAGATGAGGAGGAGGCAGATGAGGGGGAAGCAGACGATGAAGATTTGAGGACATCCACTGGAGCCACCTCCTCTTCGAACAACTCCATCAGCAGCCTGCGCATGCCCAGGAGAGCCTCCAGGGAGTACAGCTCCAACACCAGAATTAATGGGGACAGATTTTCTTTATACATTTTGACCCAATTGACGGAAAATGATTTCGTGGAAAATATAATCTCGGAGGTTGAAAAAATTTTAAAATTTTTAATCAAGTATGATGATGTTTGTATGAAAATGGATTACGTCTTTAGTTACAAAGCTCATAAGATAAACGTTTTGTTCAACTTGGTAGATATTCTTTTCTTATACTTTTCCAAATTTCATGCCACCAGCACTCAAGTTACCAGCTTATTTAAACTCATTAACCATGTGGTATCGGCCAAGTACTTTGATTTTGTTACCACAGATCATTATGTGAAGGAGCTAGACAGCTTGCTATTTGTTCAGGCGAGGAAGAAGAGGAAAAGGTTTTTCAAATACTTGAAGACTGTTCGTAATAGTAAATTCGTTTCGCAAATGGAGGAGTACTACCGCCTAGATATACCAGTCGAGGCCATCCCCTTTGGCAGCCAACATCAGAATAGCGGCAGCGGGGGACCGGGCCCCATTGGGGAAAATTTTCCCGGCGGGACGGAACCCAAGCCGTTTGACGGGGTACCACTAAGTGCGGCAAATCCCGCGCAGGGAAACCTCCCCAGCATCTTAATAAATGGCCAAGAGCAGGGCAAGGGGGAAAGCGGTAAAGGGGACAGCGTCACACCGGCCACTGCGCTGACGAACTACGCCAGCGGCCTGCCCCCTCCCAATGTGTCCCGGGACGGAAGGCACAAGCTCTACGAGCAACAGAGCGACAAGCTGAGGAACAACCACTACCTGAACAGATGCCTAGACTGCCAGGGCTATTGGTACAACTGTAATTGTAGCTTAAACGATTTTGACATTTCTAGCCTAACCCTAACGACGCAGATCAGCCTGCTGCTCATATTGTGTTTGCAACCAAACGTAGAAAAATATGTGTACGAGAAAAGGAAAAATATTATTGTGGAGGACACCTCCCCCAGTAAAGAAGACGTTACTTACCTACTTGAACGGAAAAAGGAAAAAATTAATTTCCACAGTTTTTATTACCCCGATACGTGGAAGTACAACTGTATGAGTTCGCACAAGGAGCTGAAACATTTGAACAGTTTGAAGAATACCTACTCGGTGAGTTCTTCCTTTATAAAAGAAAACGTGTCGCACTATTATGCCTTCTTTACTAAAATAAATGAGGAGGAGAAGAGGAAAAGGAAGAACATCAAAAGTGCAGACAGGGTCCTTGGGTCAGGACAAATATCGGCAGAACAAAATTCTCAAGGAGATTATTTCTGGAAGGGGGGAAATGTTTCTGAAGGGGCAGCAGAATCCATGGAGGTAGACCCGAATGTTATTATTTTAAGATTTGTCGTAAGTCTGTTCACACATAACAAGGAGGAGATTTTCTGGGCCATCTTTGAAGGAAATTTTTTCAAAATTTTTTATGACCTGGTGCTTAAAAAAATTTCCAGTGCGACACTTGTGGGTACTCTTATGTTTCATCTGTTTCATATTTTTTTTTCCTACTCCTTTATAAAAAATTCTCGCACGACGGATCTGTGGAATTCCTTCATGGACTTTCACATAAAGAAAGATTTTCTAATTAGGCTAAGGAAGAAAGGAGGAGGAGGAGGAGGGGGAGAAGCTTCCCTAGAGAGAGGAGTAACAAGAGGAGGGGAGGTAGATCACACTGCAATGGATCTACTCCCTGGGGAAGTAAACAACACAGATGAGGAAGCGCTCCTCCTTGTGGACTCATCTGATTTTTATAGGCCCCGAAAAGGAAGAAGTGGTATCTCCTCTACACAAATAATAACGCAACAATATGGGCCAAACAATATTATGCATATATATAAGAGAAAAGGAGAGTACATAATAGATGTGTTGACTTTTTTAAAATGTTTATGTAATAACTACCCTCGCTTGGTAAAGAAATATGTTTGTATATTGAAGAGTGTCATTAATCGGTACCATTCTCGCATCATGGAGTTTTCCCAAATGGACGAAGCAGTTTTTCACCACAATGTTGAGCACCAAACGAATGAGTACGCCATGAGGAAGGCAAGCAACGACTTTGACCCTCTGTACAATGTGAAGGAAAATAATTTAGCAAATATAAATGAAGAAAGGAGAATTATAATAATGAAATATAAAAATTTAAAAATAATAGCTGAAGAGAAAATGAGAATCTGTCTCGACTTTTACTCCGATATTTTTGTACACGTCTTAGACTTTGCCTCTGTTCTGTGTAACAATCTGTATGACCTCAAATTGATTGAACATGTGGTCCTTTGCTTTAAGACTCCTCTCACGGCTAATTTAAATATATTTAATTTAACGAAGAAATTGTATGACCAGTTTGTTTGTACTTTGAATGGAAAGTATAATGAATTTTCAAAATTTACAAATCAGCAACATATGTATGAAAGGACCAAAAATAATGACAGAGGGAATAATAATAATAATAATGTGCTGCATTTTTTAGAAGACAGAAATTTTATAGGTACGAATAAATTTAGTGAAAAGGATTCGTATAAGAATGGTTTAAACGGAAAAATTTTCTCACACCCATGTGTGGAAGACGCAAGTGGAGTGGCAGGAAACTCTTCTGCTACCTTCCGCGCCACAGGATCGTCAGCTACACATGGTGAGGGAAGCAACTCGTTAGGGGCAAGTGGAGGTAGCAGCAACAACAACAGCTGCTACATCACCTACCTGCACTACTTCAAAATTTTGCTCATTGAAAAATTGTATGAACAGAACAACGCACTCAAGGGCATTTTGAAGAACCACCAAATATTGGAGTACATACAAAACAATAACGTTTATCTGAACAACCTCATAAAGGAGAATGCTCTTGTGGAGAAGCACTTGGTGGAGCGGGGCGTGTTCAAGTATGACCGTGCCAAGTATGAGGGGTTCTGCAAAAGGCTGTCTCTGCAGAAGGACCACCACGCGGGATGCGTGGGCGAGGCGAGCCGACTGCTGCAGGATATCACGCAGAGTACGGACAAGCTGCGCCCCTTCGCGGGATGCCAGTTGGTGCACAGCGGGGCAGCGGCTAACGCGACCACGTCCAACTCGGCTAACCCGGCCACGGCTAACACGGCTAACACGGCTAACGCTGCCAACGCTGCCAACGCGGCCAACGCGGCCGCCGCTACTACCCCGCTCCTTGTGAAGATCCTCGCGCAGGAGAACTGCATCGAGTACCTCCTGGAGGATAACAAGTTAACGGAGAACCTGCTGCGCGAAAACAACTTCCTCAAGAGCGAGTTCAACCTATACGGCGTGGCGGAGGCGCTCTTCCAAAATAAGTTAGACGAGGCCCAGCTGGAAGGGTTGAAGACAATCACGCAAAACGAGTATGATGTGAAGCAAATCCTCGAGTACGAAGAACAAATAAAAAGCATTAGTAAGAACAAGGACGGGTCCTACAACAATAAGGAAGCAATAAAAATCTTCTTCGAAGAAAATAAAAACGCAATTGATTTCTTCCTAGACAGCAAAAATAAATTGTCCATCCTGAAAGACGACGACATGGGTGCCACTAATGAGGACATTATGAATCGAGCAAAAGTCATTCTTAAAAATGAACTCCAAACAGAGAGGAAAGGGACCAATATCGATGCAAGGTATTTGCTGGCAAACATATTTGAACAAAATGTATACCCATATAATTGCTTGAAGATGTTAGAAAAGTGTCTCCTGTTCCTCTCCTCCGTCAACAATAACAAATTGTGCTACTACCTTCCAATAAATAAAAACCTGTTAATTGATTACATCCTGTTGGAGCATTACGAAGGGGGTAGCGGCGGAGCGACTAGCGGAGGAACATCGAACTCCCTAAACCCTGAAAGCCTCAAAGCAGAGCTGAAGAAAAATACAAAATATCACCTCGAGCATGAAACAAACTTGTTTAAAATAAAAAATCGCAAATACAATAATCTAATTTCACTGGTCGACACGGAAAATCTTATCAATGCAACACACTTCAAAAATGTCTTCATTCATAATTTGAATTTACAAAACAAAGTCAGTGAAGCCAAGGATAAGAAGATTAAACAATACAGAACCATGCACCTGTTAGACATTTTATACGAAATTATTAAAACTAAATATAACTCCCAAATAGATGTCATCGATTTGAAATGCCTTTGTATAGAAATCCTTTGCTCGAGCTTTGTGAAAAATTCATCCTCTGCTTTGTCCGTCCTGTGTACCCTTACGGAAGTCTTCCCCGATCTCTTGCTCGAAGCTACAAAAAGATACAACGAACAGAATGACCGAGTGAAGAAGCACTTTGAACAAGTCGATAGGTTGGTTTCTATGGGACAGCTTAAGAGTAACACATTGGACTTATTAGCTAGTAACTTCTCCTTCCCCTACTTTAATCTTAAAATAATTATTACCTTTATGAAGTGCATAAATTATTTAATTTACATGGTCGGCATTAAGAGGAAGTTCAATCTCTCCCTGACCCGCGTCTGGCACTTCTTCAATAACATGGACAAAATTGACGAGATCGACAGAAAAATTAGACGCAAAAGGCAGCAGCAGAGGCACGCACAGCGGCAGCAAGCAGCGGAAGAGGAGCAGCAGGAAGGAGGAGGAGGCGGGGGACACGACCCGAGGAAGAAGGGATACTACTCCGATCACCTACAAAATGGATACCGAAGCGGAAGGAAAACACCCAAAGAAAAAAATTACATTTTCTTTGACATTTTTTTTAACTTTGATCGATTTTTTGAAGAACTCTACACGGAGGATGAGGAGGAGCAAAGTCAGGGGGACTGTTCAGGTAGGGAGGACGGGGACCGCTACGACCAGCAAGCTTCCAGTGGTGGTGTAGGAGGAGCAAGCAAGCGGAAGAAGAAACACTCCACTAGTGTAACCCTTGGAGGGGGGACACAGAGTGGTGGTCGTAACCAAAACAGCGCAAGTAACAACGCAGGAGGAGTGGGTGCAGGGGGAGAAGCGGGATGGAGTCTCACCGGGCGGAACCAAAACACAGACCCACAAAATGAGGACGAGGACGACGTGTATGAAAATTGTTTAAAAAAAAAATTAATGATTGAAGATTCTGAAAAAAACGTATGCAAGCATTTAATCCTACTCACCAACTACGTTGTTCAAAATATATTTTACAATCTTATAAACAATTTTGTATTAAAAAAAATTAGAGACAAGAAATACGAGAATGAAGATCAGTTAGATGAAAATGTCAAGCTAGAATTCTTCATGAGTCAACAAGAGAACTCACTCTTCAGAAGGAGATACAACTACTACATGCAAAAGACGAAAAATTTAGAGGCTCATATAAATAAATTACAAAACGAAATTAATGTTAACACGAATAACATTGTTCAAATGGAACAAATATTAAAACAGAATGCTGTTCCTTTTGAGCCATATGTTTTAGCTCAGACCATGCTAAACAAGTCTTTTGCTGAGGTAGGAAATTTTGGCGACAACCTTTGTTCTTATCCCGGTGCAGCATCATCCAATTTGTTATCCCCTTCTCTCTTTAACCAACAGAGCACCACGCCAGGTGGAGTGTTTGGTACAGCCGGATCGACTACTACTTTATTCAACGAAAGAAATCTTCTTGGGGTGAATTCTTCACCTCTATCGAGTGGGTTAACTAACACAGGGAAGACAACCGCCGCCGCGTCTCCCTTTTCCTTTGCAAGACAAAGTAACCAAGCGGGGGTCACATCTAATTTGGGCATAGCCACCACTGGACAGGCCACTCAACAATCAGGACTGCTAACCACAACGGGTGGTACAGGGAACCTCTTCGGTTCTGCATCTAACAGTTTGATGAATGCCTCAACAGGAGGTGGTCTCTTTGGCACACAGAGGGCAGGATCCCTTTCCGCCTCCCCCAGCATGGCACAAGCACCAGCATCATCATCTATGGAGAATACAAGAACAGCTTACGAGTCTTCCACGCGTTGGGCCTCCCCGTCTCACGCAGGGACGACAGCGACAACCGCGCTCGGGGCAACAACAACAACAACCCCTGCGACCAGCTTCTCTTCATTCATGTCTGGTGGAACTCTTAATAAAGGAACGGCCATGGGCACCACTGGTGGTCTATTTAACACACCGACAAGTGCCCTAGTAACGAATAGCAACGCGAACAAGCCAGCAGGAGGATCTTCTCTCTTCGGGTCCAATACGACATCATCCACAAGTTTGTTTGCCCCTGCGAACACCACAAATAATAGCGCATTCGGGTTCAATCAAAGCGGGGCTGCATCTAACAGTGCCTTGCTGAGTAACACGAATAAGCTTTTTGGCGCCCAGGCAGGGGGTACGTCCAATCAGATGCTTACACAAGGAGGAGCCTCATCAGGAGTAACTGCATTAGGTCAAGCAGGAACAAGTATCTTTGGAAACACGCAACAGAGCGGAGGTAGTCTCTTCGGGGGCAGCATGTCGTCAAACCAGAACCAGCAATTCTTGCAGAACAACACAGGGTCTCAATTTAGAAGTGCAGCATCTACTAGTGGCGTAAACAAGCCCAGCTTATTCACCCCAGTTAGCCAAAACAGCGTCTTCACGAACACGTCCCTCCTACCAGGCAGCAACACATCCAACTCCTTATTCAGTACGAATAGGATTGGCACGAATGCATCGTCCAGTACCCTTCTTAGTGGAAGTACAAACACGAATAGTCTGTCTAACTCACTTGTTCAAAACAACGCAGCGAGCACCTTTGGAAGTGCTTTAACTTCTAGGGGACAACAGAATCAGGGTTCAAGTTTTATGCCTTCACAGAACACAAGTTTGTTTTCACAAGGGGCGGCTACTACTACTTCCTTCAGTAGCAACAACCCCACCATGCAGAATCACATGAGTAACCAAGCAATGCTTTCCAATTCATCATTTGGTCTTATGAACAAATCTTCCGCTTTAGGTGGTGGCGTCACAGGGACAACGACGCCCTCCTTTACGAGTATGTTAGGAGGGGGGAACACCAATTTGTCAAGCCTAAGCAGTGGTAATAATTTAAGTGGAGGCACTTTATTCGGTACCCATAACGTGTTGGGACAGAGCAATGCAGGAAATCTCGCCACCGTAAGCAGATCAAACACATCGCTGAATCTTTTTTCAGGACAAACGAACTCATCCCTGCTGTCAGGTCAGGCTGTTCCTCAAAGGACGGGCCTGTTTGGAAGCGCCAACTCGTTTGGGGCGTCGCTGCAGCCAGGTGGGCTAGGCGGGCTAGGAGGTGTGGGAGGAGCAGTGCAGAACGTAGAGCAGCTTAAGAGTCACTACGAAAGTTTGAAGGCAAAAACCAACGCACTCTACGCAGAGGTGTACAAGTACCGCTTCGAATTGAAAAAAAATGAATACAACCTGTTGAAGGAAAAGAAGATTCAAGTAATAAAAGAAAACAAACTGAGAGAAACGAAGAGTAAGGCGGACATCAATTTTAAGGACAGAGAAATGTACGTCTTAATAGTGTTGGTTTTTATGTATTTTAAATTAATTCTGAAAGGACCACTACCCCTAAATGATAATAACAGAAGTATGAACAGAGTGATGAATGAGCGGTTCGACTTTTCTTGTGACTTCAGACCTACCATGTATCTGTTTGATCAAATTTTAGGAGAGTCCAATAAGTTCATGAATATTTTCCTGAATGTAATTTTCTTGGACAATATAATGCATGAGGAGAATCGGGCTCTTCAGGAAATGATCTTCAAGTGTAAAAACTATGTAGATTATATAAGTGTGTGCAACCAGAGGAAGAGCCTCTTCCTTAGGAAAGGGGGGGGAAGTGATGTTAACGCTCCTGCTTGTGAGAAGAGCGACGTTTTCACTTCAGCCACGTGTCAGGTCTATTACGAAAAGAAGATGCAATACCTCACCTGTTCCTACTCGAAGGGCTTCTACACTTCCTTATTCCTGTGCAGAATAAAGGGGTTAGGGTTAGACCTCCTGAAAATCCTCTTCGAGCGAGATGTCCTCTTCATCCATATGTATACCCTGTGGAAAAATGAAAAAATGTTACACAAGAAAATTGACAAATTTCATTTCGACATTCACTTGGTCGATGCGAATGCTTCGAAGAGTGAGGTTGTGACTTCGTCTAGCACAGGAGGAGGAAGGGTAGGAAGTAAAGCCATTTCCGGACCCATTGTCGGAGGAGCTACTGGAACAGTTGCCACAGAAGGAGAAGAAGATGGAGGAGAAACAATTACAGGGAAAGATATAAGCGTAACAGAATCGTTGTGTACACCCATGTGCGTTCACAATTTTTTGTTTAAAAATATTAATGTGAACTCCAGGACCACCTACCTCGTACTTTTATTAAAAAATTTCCTGAGGACAAAAGAAATGGACAAGCTCATCATATATCTCATCCTACAAATTTTCGTTCGCGATTGTAGAACCACCATAAATATACTTAAAAGGGATAAAGAATCCTTCAACTTTTTAAAATATGCTTTGCGTACCATTTTTACATTTCACCTGAACAGACAGAAATTTAACAACTGTTATGTCATTTCGAATAGGACCATTCAGATGGAAAAAATTTTACATAACTTTATCGACTTACCCCTCTTGTACTACCTCCGACGGTCTCCTAGCCGTACGGAAAACAAAACGTGTGTAGTAAATGCGAAAATGAAAAGAAGAATGGCCAACCACCAAGGGGGGGGGGGCATGATGCGCAATAAAGAAGAAGTGCTGAACACAACCAACTGGTTAACCTACTTGAAAAATCAGAAGAAGAGAAACGGGTGCGGAATGGAAGACGAGGATAGTGATGTGCGTAATGAAAGTGAGGAAGATTATTTGCAGGAGGGGGAGCGAAGAGCACGCCGAGGGGGAAATTTTCACTCACGAAGGAAAAGACGAATGGCCACACTTGTTGATGCAGAACGAATAGCTAATGGAGGAGGAGCAGCAGATTCTTATATGAATGATACAGAAGGAAACTTGCATGAAGAGGATTATGAGGATGAAAGTGTCTCGTATGGGGACACGGATCAGTACGACGACAGTGAGGAGGGTGAATACGAGGAGGACAGTTACTCACCATGTGGTGGAAGGTACACGCAGGATGAGGCTTATGATGATGGGCTCTCCTACGAGGACAGCGACGAGGGTGAGGATGAAGATCAAGATGACTTGATGAAGAAGGACCTCCTCTACATGAGCGATAACGTATATGGAGGTGGCAAAAGCAGAGGAAGGGAATTAAAAAGGTCCTACAGATCTGAGAGACGACGAGTCCCCTCCAGACGGAGACTCACAGAACCACAAATGGATGAAGAACTATTAACCACGTACCGACGTATGAAATTGAAAAAAAAAAAAAAACAAATAAAATATATGTATGATTACCTGTCCGATAATGATATTATCGATACCATTAAGAGTAAAAAGATATGTGTGTTTTACGACAATAAAGAAAAGGAAGAAGACAAGGACAACCTGAGTTTGTATAATATCACTTGTGAAGACAGAAGTGATAACTACTGCAGGGAAGACTACTACAGAGAGGTCAAGTCGATTGACTCCAACGTCGTGGGGTATTGCAGCTCGTACAATCTTCTTCCCATTAACAATTTCTACACAGAGAAGTACGATTTCCTGGAGACCGAGCTCGTGCACGTCAGCGACCTCAGGCTCTACCTCTATGTCAAGTCGTTCAAGCGCCACACGTACTTTAAGAGGATGCTCAGGATTGAAAACGCGGTCGCAGGGGGGGGTAGTAGCGGTGGCGTTGGCGTTAGCGTAGGAGAAAGACAGGACGCGCCGAACAGCTCTCCGAACAGCTCTCCGATCACGTCACCGATCACATCACCGCCTACGGCGAACAAAGCCACCACCCCCAACGCGCAGGAGCAAAAGGGAGGAAAAGCCCCAGTTGGTGTAGGCGTGGGAATGGGTATGGGCATGGGCCCGAGCAGCGACGTGCAGGGAGGTCACAGCGCGCATGGCGGCCACGTTGGCCCCCACCCCGCGCAGGAACAAGCCCAGGCGTTCGCCAACCAACGCAACAGCTACGACAAAACGGACGAGGCAAAAGACATCGAAAAGACAATCGAGAGGGAGTTGAAATTCTACGACTTTTTCAACCGCCTGAACAAATTAAATGAGAACATGTTGTTCCCAAGCAGCTTTCACGACAACAGAGGAGACGAACAAATGAAATATTTTGATCACATAAAAAAAGCGATTAGTGGTGAAAAGGAAATATATGGCAAGACATACCAAGAGGAGAATCTTCTTATTCCGATAAAGGAGTTGCTGAAAGAGAAAAAGGAAGAGGCAGCCAAAACCCTGAGCAATGAAATGAGGAGAAAACAAATCTTATTGAATAACGAACTCTGTGAATGGATCGAACTTAGCCATCTTGTTAATGTGGACATTGATTACAACGACATAAGAGGACTGAACAAAAATCGGGTCCTCAACAATTATAGTAAAATTTCCATCACGAAACTTATTCTTTACTTTTATGAAGTGCTAACGAGAAAGTTTCTGTTCCTAAACAACTCGGACTCATTGATTGAGAATTGTGTTTTGTCTCTCCTGGGTCTTTCATTCATTCCAGCCAAGCACAGTGACAAGAAAAATGTACTCACCACCGTTGAAGAGGGCATGGAGCTCGAGCAACAGTGCTTCCTCAGCACCATGATTGACAATGTCATTGTTGATTTTTCCTCCTTGGAGAGCGTGCGCGAGTTGATACACGTCGATTATTGCCCCGGCGGGGAAGACGTGAACGCGGTAGAAGACGTGCATGAGGTGAACGCGGTGCAAGGACTCGAAGAGATGGAGGAAGATGATGATGAAGATGAAGGGGTGAAGAGTTACACCGACTCGCCCTTCCCAGAAGGGAACCGTGTGGATACCCCTTACACAGGAGAACCCTCCTCAAAAAAACGAGCCAAACACACCGCCAACAAGGAAAGGAAGAGCGACTACTACAAAAACAATATCCATCTTAGTAACCTGAACAACTGGAGGCAATACAATATATTCGAAAAAAACTCCTACCTGACCAAGAGTCTTAATATTATATACATGATTGTAAAAAATAAAAAAATCAAGGACTACATAATTTTTCTCTTAACCAAAATGTGGGTAAATAAATTCAATGTGTTTTATTACCTGACCCAAAATGTAAATGTACAAAAATTAAAGGATACAGAAAAAATCGTTTTTTTCAGAATTTCATTTCATATGTTAAATGTCTTTGTTCCTATAATTGATAATATATTAAATAATATTGACAAGCACGTGGAGCAGTTCATGGATGTGAATTTTTCCTTGGGGGGGAATGAAGAGGAGGAAAAGGAACAAAAAAGTGAAGACAAAGCGGGAAAGGGTACAAATGAACAGTCATATAAAAATAAGCAAGAGAAAAAAAAAGGAAAACAAAATGTTAACCCATTTGACTCCATCATTAATGAAGAAAATTTCCATGAAAAAAAAACACTTTTCGAATTTTTAAACCCAATTTTTAATTGTGAGAACGCGAATAATTTCATCAGCCATTATTTACACATGATTAAAAATTACAACGACAATTATTTGAAGCATTACATTTATCATTACTATTTGTTTAATTATGACTTCAACTTTCAGAGCGTTTTTAATTTTTCCAATGTGGAATTTTTGCACTATGTGAAGAATGACACTGGTGTGCAGACGGAGGGTGTGCAGCTCTCTGTGGACAGAAACGTTCATGTGTTATACACGAGCATCATCAACACGTATGTTAACTTTTGGGGGGTTCGCACTGCTGTTGGCGCTTCTGCACGCGGTGGGGGAGTGCCCGCGGCGCTCATGCGCAGGTACGACGACCCGCTGTCGCAGGAAGATGCTTTGGTCGACCTGGGCCCACATGAAATGCCCAGCCAAAATGAACAAAACGTGGAACATGTACAAAGGAATAATCATATGAACAGTTCAGGCAAAAATTTCAACTTTGAACATTTGAATGAAATTATTGGGAACAAGACTTACCTGCGCAGATTTCTGAACAAGTACTACCTTAATCGTAGTAGCCTTCATGGTGATGGTGGCAAGGTGACTCTAGGGAGGAGGTCTTCCAAGGGGTCAGCAGCAGGTACGACTAAACGGGTACGGCGACATGCTAGCCGAGCGGGGAATCGAGCCAGTGGGGTACGCTCCAAGCAAAAATGCTTAGAAAAAAGTATATACATTTTTAACAGCCTAAATTATTTAAACATCAATTACAAGAATTGGCTAGTGGTCTACAAGACGTACATTGAAAAGGTCACCTACCTAGTGGACCTTATCCTTAAGATTAAAAATAACAGAATGAACAAAAAAATATATTACTTAAAAAATTACTTGTACATAATTAACAACATACAAAAGCATCTGAGGGGAATCACGTCCATTATCAAGTCTTCTCACTACATTAATTTTAATATTCAGATAACCCCTATTATGTTTATTGTGTATTTATTTATTACCATTTTTTTCTTTTCGCATAATAATTGTTTTGCGTTTAGCTACCTGGCGCGCAACAACCGGGGGCTTAAAAACCTTCTCAAGGGTAAGAAGGACACCTTCTCCTTGCGTAGTGGGCAGGACGAGTCGGATGAGGAAGCAGATCGTCAAGTGGATGGCCCAGCGGGTGGACACACGGATGGTGCAAGAACAAACCCCCCAAGGACAGAAAAAAACACACAACGTGATGATGAGGCATACAAAATTGAACATTTGAAATATCACAAAAAATTAAAAATGTCCAATTTTTTCTCGAAAAAAATTCTGAACAGAGAATTTGAGGACAACGTGTTGAGGCTTCCAAAAAGTTCTGGTGACTCAGAGTACGATGGAGGGACCGTCATGTCTTCTGCGTCTTCCTACACAAGAAACTCCCTCTTCAGACTTAGAGACAATAATGGTACAACGTATATACCTACTGTTAGAGGAGGGAAAAAGTACAATGAAGGAACAGCTTTCCTTGCACGGGACGACGAGGTGGAGCTTCTCCAACACATTGGAGGAAAGAAAAAAATACATTACGATGTACACAGCGAGTATGCTAAGCTAATTTTAAAAAGCAATGAGTTCTTTGATGACCTGTTAGAGTTATTCATTTTATTAATTACGAAGAAGCACCCCATTTTAAATAAGTACACAATTATCTACATATACGAATGCCTTTACACGTTGCTGAACATATATCATTACAATTACATGCACAGTGGGGAAGAGAACAACATTGGGCAGACAAAGAATATGTTCCTGTCCCTCATGAAACGAATTGACCAAGATGTACTTAACGATTTCATATGTAACCTTTTTATGGACTCGTACAAGAATTTTATCACAAACAGAAATTTTATTATCCCGATTTATTTCTACAGCAATGTGTATAAATTTATTGACTACAACACGGAAGTATTTCTGTACACAAATGGGGATAGTTCCTCTCGGGGCGGGGAGCGTTTGTTTTGGAGTTCAGGACCTACTGCATTGCTTGATGAGGAGGACCCATTCGAGGAAGACACCGACTGGGATGACAAGTACGGCACGAATGGGGTGAAGAGGAGGAACCTCGTGAATTTCCATTTTAAGGAGCATCTCAAAAATAAAGTCCACCTGAACAACCGAAGTCTAAACATATATGAGGAAGCCTTCTGCTGTAGCTTCTTCTACAATAGAAACGACCTGAACGTGTTAAGCATTAACTTACTCATTTTCCTTCTGAACAAGATTGGAATTCACGAGATTGACATTAAGATAGACGAAGAAAATATAAAAAAACTGATTAAGGGCAATTTATTTCTTATTCATAATGCAAGAGAACAAAACCACAATGATGAAAAAATTTTACACACATGTTTTTTACTCAGCTCCCTTTGTGACACCACATACGTTAACGAGTTTGTACAAAAGCCAGATCTCTTCAACTTATTTCTAAGTAGCAATATATTTGATCATTTATATGAATATAAATTTAATTACCTTTGTTCAAGTATTCCTTTTTTAACTTTCCCCACCAACTTTCTAGACAATAAGAATATATACCTCCCCCGACCCTCTCTCATCATTTCCTATGTGACTGTTATTTTGAAGGTGGTTGATAAAAAGGGTCTTCATTTATTTAGGTGGATTGGAAATTGGGTTATAAAATATATACACATTTTTGTGAACCATTTGATTGTGAATAATTATTTGATGAAGGCCAAGGAGATCACTCATGAGGTTAATAACTTTACCACTTACAATCACGAGCTTGTGTATAAGTGTCTCTGCTACTCTTGCACATGCAACTTTGTGAAGAAAAGAGGCGGAGGAGGAGAGGGGGGACCCTCAGATAGGGGAAGCGATGGAAAAGGACCCAGTGGCGACCTTCGTGATGGCCGTGGAGAGCGAGGCGAAGAGCCAGCAGGGACGTGGACCCACCCGGGACAACGACATGCACAACGAGACTGGCTCACAGATGCAAAGAAGGACAAAGGAAACTCAGAGGAATTCATAAACCACGCAAATATGGGGGTAGTTAATTTAGATGTGATTTACGCCAGCACCTACTACCTTCTGAGGCTGTACAAAAATTATCTCCTGTACATACACCAGAACTACCTCACGTTGAAGAAGCTCAAAATAATGAGGACGAAAAGGGGAGCAAAGGGACTTGGTTGCAGAAGTGTAGGTGCGAAGAAGAAGCGAAGTGGCCACGGAGGGATGATGATGATGATGGGACAAGGGTTGATTGAGTCGGACGATGATGAGGAAGGGGTTGGTCATGAAGGAGATCTTATGGAGGATGGTTCAGGAGAGAGCAGCGATGATGGTGCAAGTGAAAATGAAAGTGGTGGGGAGGAAGGAAAGAATCACGATCCCCTTGGAAGAATAAATTCAAGGGGAAGAAAACATGCAACGAATGCCCTTCAAGGAGAGGACTACTATGGCGCAGACTATAATAACTACTACGACGTCGAGCAGCACACAACCCAGTGTGGGTCCAGTCAACCACCTGATGAACAGAGTAGGAGAGGGAGAAGTGGTAGGATGAGGATGGGGTCCCCTGCAAACAGAATGTCCAATGTTGATGATCTCTTTATTGAAAAGAAAATTCTTCACAATCAGGCAGTGGCGTATCCTGCCCATGTGGAGCATTACACACACCATGCATCTAATGAGGAAGGGGTAGGAGGGGCAGGAGGCAACAGCGAAGGCGAAGAGAATCTTTCATTAGATGCAATGGACGCATTAGATGCAATGGACGCATTAGATGCTTCATTAAAATTCGAATACAATGAAATTTCCCTCAACATATGCAATATAATAAAGGAGCACAATTATATTCTGAACTACATTAAGGACCTCCTAGGTATCCTGTCCATTTTCGTAGTGTACGACATTAGTTTGAATGATGAAAATGAATTACTGAATAAAAATTTAAATAAAACTATGCTAGACAAAAGAAGAAAAAGTATAAGAACACATCGCATTCTTCAAAACATTATCCCGAAATACTCCATTAAATTTAATTGTATTAATTTATGCCTGGACATTATCGAGTATGACATTGGGCTGTATGATGAGTATGTTCAAGAATCTAAGACCAAGTATTGTGAATATATAAAAATAATTTTAAAAGTTTTTATGAATACCTGTTTTTATTTTATTAATTTAATAAAATTTGAAAATTTTAGTATGCTTAAAAGTGTTTCCTTGGCCATGAAGAAATTAACAAATATCATTTACTTTTTATTAAATAATTTGACCTCCAAGGAAAAGTCTTGGCCTGAACAGAACTTTATGCTCAACTGGTTGATCTATGACAGGGCTGGAGGAGCAGCTTGTTCCCCCCACGATGCTCATCAGGCGGGTCATGGCGAGCACAACGAATGGACTAACCAAGCGTACCAGTCCAACGAGCACGAAATAAGCACGGAACTCTTTAACGCCGACTACAACCCGTTTGGGGAGAAGAAAGGAGGCGCGGCGGCCACGTCCACGTCCACCTCCGCCGCCGCTACCGCTACCACTGCCACTGCCACTGCCACTGCCATGACGGGAGGGGTGGCCACTTCCTCCTCCGCAGAGAACGTGAAGAAATTTTTTGAAAATATAGAAATTGACATTTACGTCATGAAGAAAATACTCACCTGCGTCATCTACTTCACCTACGCCATGCTGAACAACCAAAAGGTGAACCAAATTAACATTGAAAGTATCAACCTCAAGCACATTAACAGAATCGATTTGAAGAAGCTAGCCAACTCGTACCTGGAAAAAAATAATATCCTCAACGTTTTCACCTTCATCCTGCAACGCTCCACGCAGATCTACTACCTCATCTACAACTACGCCACGGCGGCGTCCAAGCGCTAACGCCTTTTATTCTGTGTCGCTGCCATACATGCGAGACGCTGTCCTCACCAAACGCACACGCTTTTTTTAATCCTCATTTTGTTTACCACCTGCACACGTTTCACTCGCCAGGTTTCACATTCCTTTCTCGTGCGAGAAGGGGCTCAAAAACAACATTTTTAAAAATCGTTTTTACGGCGCGCACGCGTGAAGACACGGAACGCTCAACTTGAACTGTAATTTTTAAAAAAATTTTTAAAAAGTTTTTAAAAAAAATTGCACCAAAAAAAAAAAGAAAAAAACACCACATGGTGTGTGTTGTTCACGTAGGGATGAGGGGCTCTGCCCCGCGGTATCTCTGTCCATTTATGTTGGGCACCATTTTGCCATCATCCTGGGATTTTTAAAAAAATGTGTTTCTCTCCTTTTTAACCAAACTGGCGGGGTCTGCTTCGTTAACGGGGGTCTGCATGCTGGTAACTTGCGCCTTGGCCCGGTTAATGAGCGTGGTGCTGGTGGTAATTGCTGTTCGTATAACCATGCTCGTGACTATGCGCGTTGCTGTGCGTGTGGGGGGCCAAGTGCTGCGTCGCCATAATGAGCAAAAACGCAATTACACAGGAGGAGCAAAAGCTCAACCACTTGGCCAATCGTATTTTGCGACTGAACTTTTGTTTTATTTCGTTTAGCAAAATCTGCAAAAGGGAGGGGGGGAGGAGAGGAGACATTGTGGTGAGTATCAATTACAACAGTGACTTCAATGCACCTTCGAAGCGTTCGCCACGTAGGCAGACATGATTAAAAAGTGGAGCGGCGTCTTCGCCCACGTACTACGAGGAGGGATTATCAATATGTAACTGCTCGTGTGTGTCTCCATACATATATGTATATATTTTTTTTTGTCCTGTGGCGCACCTCGCATCCTATGAAGAGCAGTGTCCCGATAGAAACAGCATTAATCACGCATGTGACTTTCTCGCCTATGTGGGGGGGGAGGGATGAAAAAAACAAAGGGTATGTCTGGCACACATGTGCATATGTGCAAAAAGATATATATATATAAGGGTGAGAGTAGGGTGTGTCCTGCACATCATCCATGGCAAGGCAGGTGTGTAATGCCCCCCCCCCAGTGGTAGGTACCCGAAGATTTTATTAGGTGGCCAATGATTATGCCCAGGGGGGAGGAAAAAATGAAAATGATGAGGAGAATTATCTTCAGGTTCTTGCTCTGCACAGGGGGGGGAAGTGAGGAAGCGGCGTATATAACCCCATGTGACGGACACACGAACACGCACACGCGACGGTGTGCAATTAGACACACACGCAACGGTGCGCAATTAGACGCACGTGCGCATGCCACCCGGGGGACTTACTATATTGTTCTGGTTCAGCGAGAGCGCGACAGTCACCCCTGCGATCCATTTATGAGCCAAAATACAAAAGGAATTTATAAACACAAAATTAACATCGTTGGAAGTTCCCACGACCATACCTGCGAAGGGGGATATACAGAAGCGGCGTTAACAAAAAAAAAATGTGTATACAACAAGGTCTTTTATCGGAGGGGGTATAAAAAAAAAAAGTACAGCTCACGCTCACATAATGTATTGTCTGTCGCTACGCTCGATTAATCATTCCCCTCTGCGCCTACCCTCAATGCACGAATGCACCGCCAGCGAGATGGTCAAAAAAAACGACTGGAGCGTTAGCACGTGCAGGAACTTCACAATGTTCTGTTGCTTGTTGAAGTGCTCGCTGTCGCATGCGTGGTGGTACTGATTCTCGTTCACGATCTGGAAGGAGAGGACATGGGAGAGAGTTGCGCGCATGTGCACAGTTGAAAAAAAATGTGCAATCGCCTGGCGACGGCCTGGCGATGGAGGTAGACGACGGAGGTGGACTTACAACGTTGTGCATCTCAATGTTGACCGCGTCGCCCTTTTTGCTTTGGTGCTTGTTTCTGCAGGGAGGGAAAAAAACGAACGGGGAGTACAGACAAGCACTGTGTTGTGTTGCTCTTGGGTGTATTATACTCAGCTGCACGTGCATTTGCACCCATGCCATGTACAGATGAGCAGTTACACGCATGACAATGCTTCTCTCCATCCCTGTCGCACATCCCATGCGTGGGAGAGTGGAACCCTACTTGGAAAAATTATCCTCGAGCATCGACTTGACGTTGTCATTGACCACACAGCACATGTTACCGTCCACGGGGAGCACATGCTCCAGGGCCAGTTGCATAGCAAAACCAATAAAAACGAATAAAAAAACGAACAACGTTTTTGCTTCTGGGTCAGAAGAATTAAATAAAACGACGTGGTTGTGAGAATTCGCAATCATTATAGTCTCCGGGAGCAGGTGAAACATCACAATGGAAAAAATGAACCCGGAGCCAAAGCAATTCAAATTAGACAGGATGCCCTTAATTCTGTTTTCGTGCTCTGCATTCTTGTTGTTCCCCAGGAGACCTATCAGGTAGGGGATGGAGCACCCGAACGTGGCCACGCACAAAAAGGTAAATATGCAAATAGCCTTCGCCAGCAGCAGGTCCATTTTGTCACACAATAAACTAATGAGCAGCGGACAGATGCGGGCAGACGCAGGCAGATCCAGGCAGGTGGTGCTGGGAGATGGTGTGGTAGACAGAGGCCAGACGGCCCAACGGATTTCACAACAAACGATCTCCCTGGCGTCTCTCGGCAGACTCGTACGCTGCGCCTACACCTTGTGCGGTGCCTTCGAACAGGGGTAGCGCCTACACTGCCGTGGCTCCCTTCTCACGAAACTTGCCCCAAATTGTTATTTTATTATTAATATTTTTTTTTTTTTTTTTTTTTCCCTCTGTCCAGCGCTCCTATTTGCCTGCAAAAAATGAAAAGGAGTTATAACAAAATGGGGCAGATACAAACGTGGACCAAAATGGAATATGTGTGGTGTGGCGTGCGTAAATCAAAAGGGGCGCAGTGAAATGTGAATGGCTAACGCTGGAGCTGCCTCTCCACACCAGTGGAAGAGACGAATGAGGCGGGGGGACAGCAGCAGGGCGTAACGGTGACGAGTAGCTCCGCTCGGGGTGTGCCTTCGTCTTCAAAACTATGTGCATACATGTGCGTGTACATGTACACATACACATCAGTCATGCTCGCAACTCAACTGGTTTTAACACACACAAACGATAATTCCTTTTATGGACTTAAAAAAAAAAAAAAAAAAGGGGGACCTCTCCCTCTTGCCAACAAAAACCCACTCAGGTAAATGGGGACAATGCCTGACAGGCGCTCAAACAAAAAAAAAAAAAAAAAAAAAAAAAAAAAAAAAA